GAACTGAACTGAAATATTAAAAAAATATATATTCACAAGAGCACAAATCCAGTGAAGTATACATAGAGAGTTGTGAGTGTCTGTATATGTTGTGCACATACACATCCCATCCGACAGTCTACTCCCTCGACTGCTGGTCCCGGCCAGGTCTCTTGGGCTTCCTGAGAACATGACCTGGGTAGTTTTCTCCACTCCCCTTTGGAACAATAACAGTGGGGCCATGCTGTCCTGATTGGTATAGCACCCAATGCAAACACACATGATTACTCTATCTGGGTGGCCTTGGACCATGCTTCCTATTCGATGTGATCATCCACCCTGAATGCTGCCTTGCCATTCACACTCCCAATACTTGTTCTAGGAACAGTTATCAAATCAATACTGCCTCAATGACTACACTCATCATCCCTGTAACTTCCCAAACCAAACTATCCTTCCCTTAACATCACTGCACACACTGTTTATTTACCCTGCTAGAATGTAAGCTTCCTGAGGCCAGGGGCTGCCTTGTTTTAGATTTATATGCCCAACATGGAGGGCAGTGCTCAGCAAGTTAAGTGCTTAATAAATAATTATCATTCATCCACTTGTCATATAAATGCTGTTTTCAAACATACACTGCCACGAATATGACATTTTTCTGGAGGTTTCTCAGTTTTTCCACGCTAGACCTAAGTGAAAGGATAGCAGAAGCCAGAAGAAAGGATAAAGCTAAAAAAAAAAAAAAAGCTTACTAGCCCCTATAACACTTGCCTCAATCCTTGCAGCACAGGGTTGTCATACAAAAACATGTAAGCCTTTTCAAACAATGGCCCATTAATCAACAAAGCAGAGATATTTTCTGCAGTGACTTTTTGGTCTCACTAAATGAAGGCGTCAATTGGCAAGAAGGCCAGGTAAGGACAGCTTGCAAACTGTTATGATGCCAAAGTTATTTTTTATTAAAGTTAGGGTTTTTTTCCCCCCTAACAACTTTTGGGGCTATAAGGAAGTGAACAGTTATCTACCATTTTTTGGTTAAAAAAAAAGCTGTTTTTTTTTTCTCTGCTCATTACTGAAGGGCACATTTGAACAAGGTGGCAATGCAGTATGTGAAAAAGAACAGCGTCATGGGAGTTTTGCCACTGACTCACTTGGTAACTGAGGATGCTACTTCATCTCTCTAGGCCTCAGTGTCCTCATTTGTAAAATGAGAGAACTGAACTGAACAATCTCTAAGGTCTTTATAATTTACAGGTCTAAAAGTTTTATGATTTTCTTATTTTGAATAATTAATTCCATAATTCTCTTTCTCTCTCTCTGTCCCTCTCCAACCTTCCCCCCTCGTCTGTGCATATAAACACATACACACATAACCATTAACCAACAAATAGAATAGGAGCAAAAGAAATATACACAATGACAATTTTTTTGTCAAAGTTGTGAATTTTCGTATTGATTAGAGAAATGCAAATTAAAACAACTCTGAGGTGCCACCTCACACCCATCAGATTGGCTAACATGACAAAAAAGGAAAATGACAAATGTTGGAAAAGATACAGAAAAACTGGAATACTATACTGCATTGTTGGTGGAGCTGTGAACTGATCCAACCATTCTGGAGAGCAGTTTGGAACTACACCCAACGGGCTATAAAACTACAATAGCACTACTAGGTTTGTATCCCAAAGAGATCATCAAAAAAAAGAAAAGGATCCTCATGTACAAAAACATTTATAGCAGCTCTTTTTCTGGTAGCAAAGAATTGGAAATTGAGGGGATGCCCATAAATTAATGAATGGCTGAACAAGTTGTGGTATATATGAATGTAATGGAATACCATTGTGCTATAAGAAATGATGAGCAGGCGGATTTCAGAAAAACCTGGGAAAACTTCATGATATGAACTGATGCTAAGTGAGCAGAATCAGAAGAACCAGCAGAACCAGTAACAGCAATATTGTACAAGGACCAATTCTGATAGACTTAGCTCTTCTTGACAATACTATAATTTAAGACAATTCCAAAAGATTCACAATGGAAAATGCTATCCACATGCAAAGAATCAACTATGGAGTCTGAATGTACACTAAAGCCCACTATTTTCTCTCTCTCTTTTTTTTCCTCTTTCTTGTAATTTTTCCTTTTTGTTCTGACTCTTTCACAACATGACAAATGTAGAAATATGTTTATATCATTATACATGTATAGCCTATATCAGACTGCATGCTGTCTTGGGGAGGGAGGGGGGAAGGAAGGAAGGGGAAAAATATGAAACTCAAAATCTTATAAAAGTGAATGATGAAAACTAAAAATAAATAAAAACAAAAACAAAGTTGTGAATTTTCTTCCAACAGAAACATGAGGAAATAGCATATTTTTGCAAAACCCTGTTTCTTCCATGACTAAGAAAATGTCTGCAGGTCAGAGGTCTGAGTCATCATCATAATCAAATGACATCCACTGAAAATTTACTAGGTATAAGACAGTATAAAAGCTGTTGGTGATATAAACAGTCACTGCTCTCAAAGAGCTTACAATCTAGGTGAAAGAGGGGACAGCAGCATAAGCATGTAAAACACCATAAAAGAAGCATATGTTAAATGCCAAACAAAATGCAGCAGGAGTTCAGAAGGAGGAATATTCCTATAAGGCGGGAAGGGGATGGGAAAAGGGTTGGGGAAGGGGACGGGGAAGGAGGTTTCTGAGAGGAGGTGAGACTACAGTTCATCCTTGAACGGAAGGTATAGATAGAAGAAGCAGTGCGAGGGTGAGACATGCCAGGTAGAAATGATAGCACAAAGGCTGGGAGGCAGGAATGCCCAAGGTGCATTTGGGGGAACAACGAGCAAAACAGTTGGGCCAGTACAGCTTTGTATAAAGCAGACCTATCGAACAGGAAGTCCAGAGGCCTGAGGCCCACAACACTTCCTACTATAGGTGGGAACCAGATTAAAATGTAATTGTATTGGGGCAGCTAGATGGCCAAATGGATAGAGCACAGGCCCTGGATTCAGGAGGACCTGAGTTCAAATCCAGCCTCCGACACTGGTCACTTACCAGCTGTGTGACCCTAGGCAAGTCTCTTAACCCCGCTGCCTAGCACCCCCAAAATTTAATTGTATTTACTTTATTATTATTTATTAATTTTACTATTTATTGCAGGAAAGAACCAGATTAAAATATAATGGTCATCTTTCATGTCTTTGGTCAGTCAAATAACGCTTAAAAGAGCTTGGAGAAACAAATTTAATAAAATAACTAAAAACAAATACAACATAGATAATATTAGCACATCATTTTCTAAGTCAATATGTAGCTACAGGGATCCTTATGTACAGTTTAGTGGCCCCCTTTCTCTGAGTCTGACACCAGCGGCATAGAGGATGCATCGCCAAAGACAAGGTTGGAGACATCCAGGCTGGTAGATAGAGGGTCTTTCTTATCAGCCTATGGTGGTCAGACTGTATCACCTCCACAATGGAGAGCTATTAAATATTTCTGAGCAGGGTGGTGACATGCACAAAGTACTGTTTTAGAAAGATTAACCTGCGGGCAACAAATAGAATAAATTTGTAGCGAGGAGATAACTGAAGGCAGGGAGACCACTAGATACACTGCAATGGTCCAAACACTGGGTTGTTGGAATTAGGAAGGTGGCTTCTGAAATAAATGGAACAAGATGGACGCGAGACATTACAAAGAAAACCACGATAGCAGGAATTCTTATCCTGGGGTCCCTACCTCCACAAGGCCTGGATGGATTTTAGCGAGGGTCTACGAACTTAGGGGAAAAAAGAAATTACATCTTTATTTTTAACAATGGAATGGTTATATATGCATCTATGTACATATAATTATATACACATATATACATATATGTGTGTGTGTCAAATAGTAGCCTTCTCTAGTACAATAACACAAATTAAATTTCTAAAAAAAAAGAATTCTTAGGAATGGCTGGTCAACCAATACGAATAACCGCGGCAAAGTTTCAACAGTGATAAAAGCAAAGTTCTATAAGTTAGTGATGAGAAAATGAAGGCAAAAGAATATGACGACGGGGGGCGGGGCATAATATAGTAAGGAGCTAGTAGTTGGAGTGGAAGAGGTGACAGCGGGGTCAACAGGTTCGGGTTATTTATTTTTTAAAGACAGGAGAAAGATTAGCATAGGGGCTCGGGGGAGGGGGTTAAGATAACACAATACTGAGCAGATATGTCTGAGCATGTTTGCTGGACCTGGAGAAGGTGCCACAGTAGAGACCAATGAATCATGCATGAGAGAGGGAGTCCCCAGCCTCAGGTTTTTCTTCTTCAATCTCTTTCTAACAAATAAACTGTTTCAGGGCCCACCCAGACACAATGCAAGGATATAGAAGTCAAAAGCTTTTAAAATATTTAAGGCAACTTGCTGCCAAGTTACACGTAAGCAGGAAGTGAAGGGCAGGAGTGTTCAAAGTCAAGTAGAGACTGTTCTGATGAGAGGGGCACAGAAGCAGAATTCTGGCACGGGCGGAAAGGGGAAGGACCTGAACTCCCGGGATGCGCTTGGGCAAGGCAGGGCGAGAAATAGAAGGGAGGAGGGAGACTGGGACGTAACTAGGGAAACGGAAAGTAGGGGGAAATGGAAGGGATTGGGGAATGGAAGGGAGGGGGGAATAGGAGGACTAGAAGGAGAATGTAAGAGAAGTGGGGGAAAAGAAAGGTGGGAGAAATGGAAAGGAGGAGGGAATGGCAAGGAGAGGGACTGGAAGAAGAGGGGAGTATGGAAGGCAAGTGGGGGGATGGACGGAAGGGGAGGGGAGAGTGAAGGGAGTGAAAGAGGAGAGTGAGGGGAGTGGAAGAGGAGGAGGAAAGGAAAGGAGGCGGGGAATGGAGGGGAGAAGGGAATGGAGGAGATGGGGTGGGGCGGAGGGGAAGGGAGTGGAAGGCAAAGAGGGATGGAGGGTGGGGAGGATTCGTGGGGTGGCTGGAAGGTAGAGAGGGCCGGCAGTCGGCGTCGCGGCCCGCCGCACTCACCTCTCGCGGCGACACCTGTCCAACAGGTTGAGCTTGCAGAGGTGCAGCGCCTCGCAGGCGCCCCCGCACACCACGCGCCTACACACTCGCACGCGGGTGGTCGCCAGCACCGTCGGGCCGGCGTCGCCCTCATGGTCCAGGAGCACGAAGCGATCAGGCCCCGCTTCTCTCAGCACCTCGAGGAGCTGCACCTCGGGCAGCTCGACGAAGCTGAGCAGCTCGCGGAGCTCCATGCGGCCCCCGTGGCTGCACAGGAGCCTGGTGAGGAAGGCGCACACGGCCGGGTCCGCCATGGTCCGCCCGGGCTCGGCGAGCACAGCGGCCGAGGGAGAGGAGCGAGCGAGCGGCTGCGGGGCCGACTCCGAGTCGAGTCTGGGACTGCCGAGCGCTGGGCAGCAGAAACGAAACTTAGAGCTCCGAGGGGGCGGGCTCAGCCGCGCGCTTTGACTTTCCGGAAACGCCCCAGCCCAGAGCTGCCTCTGGGAGATTAGTTTCTAATTAGAAAATTGGTTGGCGGTGAGCCCTCGATCTGTGTATTCTCTAGGGAGGCTCTGAAATGTTACCCGAGACTTTCATTGCCTCCCAAATTAGCTGGTGTGCAAGGCGAGAAAATGAAAGAAAGAGAGAAAGGCCATTCCCGAGGCTGGGGTCTCTAGAATCTCCTCCCACCTCTCTTCTCCATCTCCTGGAAGTTCTGCCTGGGAACAGCTCACTCCCTCCCTGGAATGCTTACGTCGAGTCCTGTGAAACTCCAGAAACGAGCCCTGGCCCGGCCGCCTCCGGGCTACTTTTGAGGAGAAGCCTGCGGGGGTTGTGGATGGCTCTCGTGTCCCCCTCCCACCCCGGGCTCGGGACGCTCCTTCCTCCCTCTTCTTTTCTTTTCCCCCTATGTATGTTTGTAAATTCCTTAAGAGGAAAAGATTATTTCCATTCCTCGTGCCTGGCACAAGTGTCACACTGTGTCTGGCATATGGCAGGCACTTAGTAAAAAAAAAATGTTTATTGATCTCCATTTTTTCCTTTGTTAGCGGTAATGCCCTGCCTCCCAGTAGGTGGTTTGTGAGGGTCACATGAGACAACACAGAATATATACAACTTTATAACTGTAAATAGGAGATACTATCATTAGTTAATCCAATAAATTCTATTGCATGCACATTTTTCACTTACACCAAAGTTTTTCAACGTTTAAAAGAACTCCTATTGCTATTTTTTTAATTTTTACATTACTTTTTTTTTTTACAAATAAACCCAAGGGCATGCTGGAGCCAATTCATGCAGGAGCCTAAGAGCCAACTGTTAATTTTTCAGTGTGATCATTTGCACCTCAGAATTGTTTTGTTGGTTATCTTGACTTAAGAACGTGATGGAAAAATGTTAATAATGCTATTTAAACTTAATAATGTATCTTGCATACGTTTTTTCCCAGAAAGCCACTTAAACATTTACCAGTACTTCTGCTACATCCTTTCCCATCTCTCTTAACAAAGAATAAAAGAGGGGAAAAATCATTTCAGCAACGCTAACCAACATATCTACCAAGCATGTCAGTACATGCAATTTTCCTTAGCTACCTATTTCTGCCAAAATAGGGGGAATGCCCAATTTCTTATCTCTTCGCTGAAGCCAAACTTGACCTTTCTAATTACTTATTATCCAGTTTTAGGATTTTGTTCTTTCCATTTTCATAGTTGTAGTGAACTAAACAAGCATTTATTAAGCACTTACTATGTGTCTGGCTCTGTGTTAAGCCATGGGGATAGAAAGAAAAGCAAAAGACAAAGTTCTTGCCTTATTCTTTTAAAACCATTTTTATTGGTAACTTTTATTTTCCAAAATTACCATCCTACTCAGCGAGCCACTGCTTATAAAGAGAATAAGAAAAAGAGGGGGCAAAGTTTAGAAATTTTACAAACTATTTCAACTGATTCTGATCGATGCAATATTCCATACCCATATTTTTCCACCTTTGTTTAAAAAAAAAAGGGAGGAAAATAGCCTTACCTTATGAACTGTTGCTACCAATTCCTCGTATCTCTGGTAAAAAAAAAAAAAAGAAAATGAAAGCCTGGCCTTGAGTGAGCACCCAGTACTTCTGACTATTCTCTTAGTAAGAATCTTGCTTCTGGCTATGGCCTTCCCAAATTCCTAATTCAGCAAGTCTAAACCTGTACCATAGCAGAGCCTCAACCACCAGCACAAACCGGGCTACAAACATATTTGTGCATAAATAGAATTGGTCCAACCCAGACTGTATTATGGTCTGGCAAAGAAGCTAAATTCTCTACTGTGGCCTACATTCTCAGTGCCCTGATAGAGGATGGAAGCTTAGCTTGGAAGGATAGGGTGAAAACAATCAATCAATCAATCAACTCATCAACACAAGTTTTTTAAAAATAAAAACTTGACAAAGGATCAAATGAAATAATACATGCATAGTGCTTTGCAAGCAAACCTTGAAGTGCTAGCTATTATTATCAACAAACATTTATTGTTGTTG